GTTACATATTTTTCTTGAGTTCTTATTTTAAAGTTATTACCACTTAACATGGTAAGCATTTAATAGATATTCAGTGAATGCAAAAGTGTATCTCAATCTACATATATTATGAAACCTCCTGGAGACCTACCTATAATAGTATAGCAAAATCACATTCGGATGTTAATTCCTATGTAGAGAATACCTGATACATAACCAATTGATTGTGTTTAACTCTTCAGATAATTGATGAATATAGATTTATTTAACATATATTCTAGGGTAGTCATTAACATATTTACTATTTAAAAATTTTAATATTTAATGTAAAATATAAATATATAGTCATTTACTATTAAACATCAGATCGATTGTATCAATTCAATCATTTAATGAAATTACCAATGACAGAATTTGATGAGAACATTTTGGAACTGCCTTCTTTTTTGCTGACATTCCAAATCTTGCAGAAATTCTAATTTGCAATATAGAATTCAAATGAAAGAAAACTTCTATGGCCTAGAGAGGTACATTTAAAAATTTCTGTTCCATTCAACCATCAAATACAGTACTAACTTAGTGCCAATGAGATTATATCAAATTTAATTTCATTATTTGAAATTATTTGAAAGCCTTTAGATCACTTAAAAAATGAGTACCATCTTGAGATTTTCATTCAGCTATTAAATTCTAGAGTGTTATTTTATTCTAAATTATGGTATCACAAATGAAGTAAGATCTGGCTTCAAGTAACAAATGGGCCACTAACCAGTTGTATGACTTTAAATTCCTTTTGCCCAAGTTTAAACATTGGGAAACTTAGGGATATGCATTCTCACTCTTTTCTATGCTGCATGTGATCCATGAGCTAATCTATGTGAACAAAATTCCTATGAGCTTGGAAGTTCCGTTAGTTCAAAATATCATTATTAGAGTGATCATTATTATATTTGGCAAATTTTCTGTCTATTTCCTAGTCTATTTCAATTCTTTCAACAGGGATAATTGTGCAAGAAATAATTTGTTTTCAAATGGCTACAGGAATGTTTATAGAAGTGAGTTGAGATCTTAAACTGACTTCCTAACATTTTCCTATACATTCTTTGTGTTTATTTGGCATATGTATACTTCCACATACATATGTTAAGTGTCTATGAAAACAAAACCAAAGACAAGGAAGGTTCTGATACGAGCATCTTTCCTTTGTACTATAGTTGGCCTCAGATACTCATACTCTCTTTTTTACCTGCTCTGCTGACCTTCTGGATTAGAGTTTCAGAGAAACAACCAGAGGTAGTTGCTGTAGCAAGACAGCAGCTGGGACCATACGGATCTCAGCATCCTGCCTTATGGCCATTATCTTTGTTTCTATCTTTATGCTGCCACTATGTCTCCTTCTTGTGCTCTCCCTGCATCCTCTCCTCACTGCCTCCTCCTCTTCCTGACTCCAGCTCCCATTGCCCCTTCTAACTACCCTTCCGCCTTCATTTTTCTCTATTTATACAAGAGGAAACAAGGTTCTCTAATTGAGAAAAATTTTTTAAAAACTATTTTTTAAATTGTATGTAGCCATGCAGCTACCATTTCTTAATTCCCATAACCACTGTTAACAATAGAAAAAAATTATTTTTGTATACTCTATTGATTAGAGTGTATCAAATTGTAGGTCTCATAAGGGCTGAAAAACAGATATTTAAAATACATGCAACAATTTTCTC